ACTTTTCTCCCTGCCCACCTCTACCCCCAAGTATACTCTTCTCTTTGAAAAGTAAAAGAAAAGTTCCCCTATTGTTTTTTAATCCCTCCCTCCAGGTCCACTCCACTATGCAGCCTTTGAAGAAGTTGGGTCTTTTTTAAACCAGAACAAATGGCTTGGCTTCTGAGGCAGGGTCAAGTTGGTACCATTGGAGTCTACTTTCAAGACTTGAGTTTGGAGAGTTCACCTGGATCCACAGGAATGGAAGTGGAAGGAATATGACAATGGAGAAACGGGCTGAGCTTGGACGTGTTCCTTCAGCGCTGCCGACGTAGCTTGCACTGTTGTGTAGATGGGTAGGGAAGAACTGTTGACTTGAGAAGCAGAGTCATGAGAACCCTGGCCTGTTGACTTGACTTGACCCCATGTGGAGGCCAGGGCCACTTGAGGAGACCAACAGGTTTGGAACGCAGGGAGAATTGTGGACTCCTGAGTTTACAGCTGATGCCCATTTGAACCTAGCCATGAACGACTGGGCTTGAGTTGACCAGAAACAGATCAAATGAAGAAAAGATGGTCCATGCTGTGAGATTGGGTACTTTGATGCATCCAGATTGCTTGCTCTGAACTGAACTTTGCTTGTAGATACACATGAGCAAAGTTACCACGTTAAACAGAAGATCTTTCAGCAAAAACGATGTGCTTGTCCCCTCAGAGTACTGATTTGATATGGATGGGAAAATCCAAAATCAGCTATCTAAAAAGGCAAAAGGGATATTAGGGTATGAGGCATGAAGTTGCTGGTTTACACACTTCCCTGAAAGTAGTTATTAGTAAGATGATCCACATATGTTGTTGTTGTTGTTGTTGTTATGTGCCGTCGAGTCGTTTACAACTCATAGCGACCCTATGTACAACAGCCCTAAACTCTGCTCTGTCCTGTGCCAATCGCATTGCCTCTGACACACCCATCCCGATTACCCCAGACACGGAATCAACCCACCTCATAGAGGGTCTTCCCCTCCTGCGCTGTCCCTCTTCCCTATCAAGCATGATGTCCCTCTCCAAGGATCTGTCTCTCCTTACAACATGTCCAAAGTGTATCAGAGGAAGCCCCAGAATCCTTGCCTCCAAGGAGTGGCCTGGTTTAACCCTCTCTAGGATGGATCTGTTTGTTTCTTGGCAGTCCATAGAACATTCAATACTCTTCTCCAGCACCACAGCTCAAAGGTGTCAATTCTCCTTCTATCCTCCCTAAGTCATTGTCCGACTCTCTGATGCATAACAAGTGATTGCAAAGACCATGGTCTGTCTCAGGCGCACCTTAGTCTCCAGAGAGACACTGTTGCTCTTGAGTACTTTAGAGAGGTCCCTAACCAAAGACTTGCCC